GGAGGCGAGAGGGGGTAACGTAACTAATGGAAGAGGATTCCAGGCAGGGAGAATGGCAAGTACAAATGTCCTGAGCTTGCCTAAAGCTTCTGGAAAATACCAAAGAAGCCAGTGTAGCAGGAGCTGAGGGAGGGAGGGGGGAGCAAGAATAAGACAGCAAGTCTAAAGAGGTGCCATGGGCAGTAACGGCATTGGTTCCTAAAGAAGAAGGAAGAACCTCAATTTATTGTTAATGTTACCCAGGAAAAAGAGGGCACCTTGGTAGCAAAAGTCATCCTTGGTAGCAAGTTCCAGAACATATACACACCTGCCAGGTAAAGCATATATTATTCCTGGTGGAGGAATTCAAATGTTCCCGAGTCTAGCCCCCCCCTCCTGGAGAGGGAACTCTAACTGAAGGGGACATTCTCTGTTAGTGCTCTTGTTCCTCTCCAGCGGGCATGCTGTAAGGGTTTAGTAACCACTTAATGAATGAAACAGAATTTCCACTGGTGGTGGATGAGCGGTCACCTGGTAGGAAAGCCAGCGTAGGGGTGCTCTTTGATGCTGGCCTTGGGGCATTCTCTGTGACAGAGGCATGCAGGTGGTGAACTCGGGTAAATGGCTAAAGAAGAGACTGAATAAGCTCCAGCTCTAGATAAAGTCTGCTCACTGAATATCATTAGACATTCAGGCAGGAAGAATGAATAGAAAAAATAGAATGAGGTTTTTTGTTTTCTGGGGTTTTTGGTTGTTTTTGTATAAGACAGAGTAGAGAAGGGAGTTTGTGAGGATCTCAAATATTTGGATAAGATGAAGATGTAATATGTAAAGCCATGATTAGGAGCAGTGACAAATTAGAAGTTATAAATAGTGTATGATAAGATTTGTATACAATAGAGGTATATAATGACAAAGCTGATGGATATTTTTGTTGTTGTTAGTGCCATCAAGTCAATTCTGACTCCTAGTGACCCTGTGTACAAAGAACAGAACCCTGCCTGGTCTTTTTGCCCCATCCTCTTACCTTCTGGTGCTGTATCCGATAATGCTCCACTGCTCTTCATAGGGTTTTCATGGCCAATTTTGCAGAAGTGGGTGGCCAGGTCCTTCTTCCCAGCCTGTCTTAGTCTGGAAGCTCGGCTGAAACCTGTCTACCGTGGGTGACCCTTCTGGTATTCGAAATACCGGTGGCATGGCTTTAAGCATCACAGCAACATGAAGCCAACATGGTATGACAACCAACAGACGGGTGGTGTGGTTCCCTGACCGAGAAGCAAACCCGGGGCTGTAGCGGTGAGAGAGCTGAATCTTAGCCACTAGATCACCAGATAGATATTTTACCATATAAGGTACAAAGTCTGCTTGGGAGCTGGAGATTGGAGCTACAAACTGTTCTCTATGAAAAGGACCAAAGAGGTATTATGGGCAGTTTGTAAAGTTCACTTTGATCCTGCAACTCAAGAGAGTAAGCGGTACTTCAGCCATCTTAAGTAAATAAGCAAGTTTCAATGGCAAGAAATGGCCTCCCTGCACACTCAACCCTTTTCAAGTGTTCCTCATATTCAAGGAGTGGCTCTGTATAGGCAAGTTGTTGTTCCTACTCAGAGACAGGCAGGGAATGCAAACCTGTGCTGGGAAAAAGCTCTCAGTTCATCGGTTCTCTGCCTGCTGAGTGTCCTGCACTCTGGGCCAGAACAGCCTGATGCCCTGTCACCCAGCATGGTGGACAGAGTGTTTTCTCATTGCAACAATCTGCCAGAATTCTAATCTTCTCTCAGACACAACCTCATGAAAGTTTCACTCTTTTAATATGAAACTGACAAGAACATAATTTAGAAGAACAGGATACGATATTTGTGTCTCTTTCAGCCACCATCCCATCGGTGTGAAAATTTCGGCAGTGCTTAAACTAAAAACAAAAACAAACAAAACTGCTTCAAATGAATAGTCTGAGAATATTTTCCTTCTGTTTACCTACCTGGGAACTTGCTCTCCCTGGGTCTCTCCAGTGACGACGATCAAGCCAACACATTGACTTGGAGTCTAAATCTGTGTCTTGGTCCAGTGGCCCCAGTGCAGCAAAAGGGTTAAGCTTTCTGATGACAATTATGATGGCAAAAGGCTGGCAGCCTTTATTTCTAAAGAGCTCATACAGACTGACAAAAACTAAAACTCAAAATGATAAAAACAAAAAAAGGGGGGGGTCGGCCCAGTGGTGCAACGGTTAAGTGTGTGCACTCCACTGCGGTGGCCCGGGGTTCACAGGTTCAGATCCCTGGCACGCACCAACGCACAGCTTGTTAAGCCATGCTGTGGTGGCGTCCCATATAAAGTAGAGGAAGATGGCATGGGTGTTAGCCCAACGCCGATCTTCCTCAAGAAAAAAGTGGAGGATTGGCATTGGATGTTAGCTCAGGGCTAGTCCTCCTCGCGAAAAAAAAAAAAAAGGAACTGATAGCACTTCACAAGAGAAAAAATATAGATGGTCAACAAACACTTGAAAAATGTTAACCTTTACTCATTAAAGAGAAACAATAACAATGATATGTCATTTGTCATTATCAAAGGTTAAAAGACTTGAGAATATTCCACTGGGGAGGAGCATTCTCTTAAACTGCTGGTGGAAGGATAAATTGATTCACAAACATATCCACCATAACATTATTTATAATATTACAAAATAATGTCATAAAACATAATATATAAACTATAAATTATGATACAGCTATATGGAGCCATTAAAATCATTGTTTAGGAAACATTTCTAGTGACACAGGGAAATATTCATACAATGATGTTTATGAATTGGGATATAAACATATATATTTATGTGATCCCAACCTTGTAAAACATTATAGAAGGAAATGTGTTAAGACTGGTTATTTCTATGACCTGAAGTTATAGATGATTTTCAGTCTTTTCTCCATACTTTCACATATTTTTCTAGTTTTCTACAATAAGCATGTATTACTTTATTATAAACAGGAAAAAGTTCACCTAAAAACGGCAAGAGTGACTCAGCAGTCTCCCTTTTTGCCCTCTGAAGGAAGCCCAGGCTTATCATTAAAGGGAATTAAAAAGCTCATTGTGGTGAGAATGTGATTACAGGATTGTTAAAAGCCAAACAACAACAACAACAATAAAAATGGGGTAGGCTCTTCGGACAGCAGAGAAGAGTGCCATGGGGTTTTCCAACCAAATATCCGTATGCTTTCACTGCGAAACATTTAGAAAAAGAAGCTAGGACTGGCCTCCAACTTCTCTGTCCACGAGTTCCTGAAGTCTGTCCATATTTCCAATAGGATGCATGTGGAAGCCATCCCAGTACTGTGTTGAGTATGTATGAGACATAAAACATGGCCCCTCACCTCAAGAAGCTTTGCTCTCTTGTTAAGACACATACGTAAGATACGTGCAGGAAATAACTAAAGGATACTACATGCTATTTTCATTCATTCAAAAAAAAAAATGAGTTCCTTCTGTGTATCAGGCACCATGCTGGGGATAAAATGGATAGCAAAATAGATGAAGATCGTTCCTCGGGGAGATTACACCTGGTGGGAGCATACAATTCTAGCTTTCAGCTAAATCAGAAGTAGCCCAGGAAAGCTGGTGAAAAGTTAGTGGGATTTAGAGAGGCAGAAAGCAGGGTGGGACTTTAGGAGTTGGGGAGTGGCTGAGAGGTGGGCAGATGGGAAGAGGGACAGCTGAGCAGACGGTGGACTAAGCAAAGCAAGAGTGGAAGACCAAAGGGAGCAGGGCCTCACTCAAGAATTGCAAGTTCCAGTTCTAAGTCGTGCCCGATGGTGGTGAGCCTCAGGCACCAGGCACAGGAGTGGGGACTGAACTCTGTGCACAGGTGAGAAGAAGAAGGGACACCAGGGACCACCACCTTCTCCACGTGCCTGCTCATGGGCTTCTTGGCTGCTGTTTTATTTTGTTTCACTGTCTACTGACAATCTCCGAAAGGTCAGTTGAGAGAAAAGGAGGAAGTTGAAAACAAAGGCTCTGGGCGCCTGCGGGAGCTGCAGCATGAGGTGGCTGATGCAATCTCTTCCGTGACTCTTCTAATCGAGCTCTGTTTTCAAGTCAAAAATGCTTAATAATAAGTTTTTTGAAGCCAAGTGTAACAAGCTTGAAACAGGAGAAATAAGAGGGAGCATTTATATAAAGTCACCTCCAACTCCCAACCTATTGGATCCTGGACAATGGAGGCAAGTCAAAACTTATTTCCTACCACACAATGGTATAAGTTGGGGTTCCAGTCCTGGGAATCCATTCTACCCCTGAAATACCTAAATCCATTAAAACTGCAGATATAGATTTTTACAAACATTTGGTAAATATGCAAAACCATACAAAATATGTTCCTGTTGGGAATCTTTCCCATATTGCAGGCTGGACTGGTTAAAACTTCTCATTATACAAGTCTAATAACGTATGGACTAAAGACACCATTTTTTTTTTTTTTTTTTTGGTGAGGAAGGTTAGCCCTGAACTAACATCCGATGCCACTCCTCCTCTTTTTTTTTGCTGAAGGAGGATTGGTCCTGGGCTAACATCTGTGCCCATCTTCCTCTACTTTATATGGGATGCCACCATAGCAGGGCTTGACAAGTGGTGCGTCGGTGCTCACCCAGGATCCGAACCTGTGAACCCCAGGCCACCAAAGCAGAGCGCGTGCACTTAACTGCTACACCACCGAGCCAGCCCCAAAAGACACCTTTTTTATACCTGATTAGTCTTTCTTTAGCAGCATCATTGCTCCAAGAATCTCCCAACTACATTCAAACGGGGGCCTTCAGCCTCTCGGGTTTTAACTAATTCAGGGCTTCAAAGACTCTGAGCGATAAGTGCTTTGGAGGGGCAGCTCCCAGGGCCTCCACTGAGATGGACCCTCACTCTTCCATTTCAGCGCTTCCCCGCCAAGCTCCCCTGAAGGAGAAGCCGTGGGCAGGGGACTATGGTTAGGTGGTGGCAGCACGGATTCAGGCCCTCACTGTGTGCATGGGTTTACGTTTCTGTTCTAACCGGCACCTGCTTCACCCCAGGCAACATGCCCAGGTCTCTGCCAAAGGAGTCGCTGATAAATCTTTATTCTCATTATTCATGCTCACTTGGGTCCTTTGGGAGATCGAGGGCAGAGCCCTCATGAACAGCATTAATGTCCTTATAAAAGAGGCCCCAGAGAGCTCCTTGGTCCCTTCCACCATGTGAGGACACAGCAAAAAGACAGCCATCTATGAACCAGGAAGTAGGCTCTCACAGACACCAAATCAGCCAGCGCCTTGATCTTGGACTTTCCAGTCTTCAGAACTGTGAGAAATTTCTGTCGTTTATAACCCGCCCACTCTATGCTAATTTGTTATGGCAGCCTGAATGGACTAAGACACCTCCCTCTCCCTCACCTGTCCCACATTCTGTTTCCTCATACTAGGTTCTTTTTTTCCATTTGGTCCCTTTCTGTTCTTGCAGAACAAATGTGGGGTGTGGTCAGAGAGATCCTCCAGTAAGCTTTGGAAAAGAGGAGGGGGCTGTTCCTCTCAAGGGGTTCCTTCAGGAGTTGATTTCCAGGGCTGTGTACATCTCCACAGGGCCTCTCCCCAGGGCCACCAATGGCCACCACTCACTTCTCTGCTGGACACCCCCTTGCACTCCTGGCTGGGTGGACGGACAGGATGCCACTCTGTATGTATTTTGGCCCCAGCACTTTGTGTCTCACAAGGCTTGCAGCACTGAGCTCCTAGGCACTTCATGATGTCTTATTCCACATTGGAAAATTTATAAATATAAAGGTATAGCATGCAGACTACTGTTTTGGAGGCCAGAGAAGTCCTTCTGATTAAAAATGTAGTAAAAGGATTTTTCAAAAATGATGAGGAAGGCATTTACAATATATACTATATACTACTAGAGGGACTATAATTAGCAAGTTTTCTGTAGATCAATTTGGCAATATGCAGTAAAATCATTAAAAAACATTTCTACCCTTGACCCAATGATTGCACTTTTAGATATTTAGCCTAAGGAAAAATTGGCTTCCAAACAAGAATCATACAAGCATCTTCCTTGATTATCACTTATAATATGAAAAATGGAAGCAATCTGTCTAATGGTGTAATGGATAAATCTATGACATGAACTATTATGCAATCATTAACCATATTTTTTAAGAATATGTAACAGCTTTGAAAAATGTATACAATATTCAGTGAGAAAATCATTATGGTCAATGGTATGATTATTTAAAAATACATCAGCACATAGGAAAAAATAAATATTAGTAGAAAATTAACAGTGGTTCTATGTATGTAGTAGGATAAAAGGTTACTTTTATATATTTTTTCTTTTTAAAAATATTTTCCAAGATTTCTATAATTACCATATATTACTGTTGTTGTCAGGAAAGAATTGTAGATGTTTAAAAAGGAATGAGTATTACTATGTGATTTCACCAGCAGGCAGCGTCTTGTCTTAACCAGTAATGAGCTCCCAGAGCAGGGCAGGTAAACCCACAGAGTGGTCTAGCAGTGGTCCTCAACCCTGGCTCACATTAGAATGAGCTGCAGAGCTTCTAGAACACACCTCAGAAGTTCTGATTTGACTGGTTTGTGGCCCAGCCATGGTAAATGTTACAGCTCCCCAGGTGGTGCTACTGACAGAAGTTGGGTCCCCAGGCCTTCAGCACATTTCTCCTCCTTCAGGTCCCCAGTAACAGCGAGCCTTCTCCTTCACCCCAGATAAAGCCACCCCTCAGTAAGGAGGTGAGAAACTCTCTCACAAATGGTTCCAATAGCTTGTGGTGTTTAAGCTGCAGCAAAGCCTTTGGCCAAAGGGCATTCAGTCAGGGAGCTAAGGCATAGAACTGCCTGGGACAGGCTTTCCTCCTGACCTCAGCCCAGAGAGGTGGCTGATGACTTATCAGGTGGGTCCTGCCTGTAGGTTACCTCAGATTTCTTGTCTTTTATAATGGGAATGGGGGGGGGGGGTTGCCACAGGTTTTTAGGGAATTCCAGAAGGGAGAACATGAGCTTGTGAAGAAACTGGGAGGGAGAGGAGGAGAGCTGGACACTTACTGGTATGACTTCCCCTCAGGTACCTGGGAGGGCAGCCCAGCAAAGGGCAGGAGAAAATGACTGTCCCAAGGCTGAGGCGAGGCAACCAGCTGCTGTTCCTGGGCATCATGATCCTCATGATCATGGTCATCTCCCTGCTGTTCTACGCTCTCCTCTGGAAGGCCGGCAACCTCACTGACTTGCCCAACCTGAGAATCGGCTTGTACAACTTCTGCCTGTGGAACGAGGGCAGTGGCTCCCTACAGTGCTACCAGTTCCCTGAGCTGGAGGACCTGGGGGTGCCTCGGGTTGGCCTGGCCCTGGCCAGGCTTGGCGTGTACGGGGCCCTGGTCCTCACCCTTTTTGTCCCCCTGCCTCTCCTCCTGGGCTGGTGCAACAGTAACGAGGGAGAGTGGCAGCTGGCGGTGGGCTTCCTGGCAATGTCCTCCGTATTGCTGGCCAGCGGCCTGGGCATCTTCCTCACCTGCACATGGAAGTGGGTCAGGCTCTCCCTCCTAGAGCCTGGGTTTCTAGCTCTGGGCTTTGCCCAGGCTTTACTCATCATCCTGCTTATGGCCACAGTTGTGTTCCCTCAGAGGGCAGAGAAGGATGAGAGCAAACCTGAGAGCCGCTAGTCCTGTCTAAACGCTTACATGATTGCAAGGGTTCAGTTTGAACTATGCTCAGAGAAGGTGCCAGAGAATTCATGAGCTGGTATGTCTTCTCAGCCATCCTGTTTCATAGCTACTGCTGATCTCAAGCTCTAGCAGACGGGACCCACCGCAGAGAAGGTGGACCTAGTCAAGGAGGCCGAGAGGCAGCAAGGGCGGCTGGGGCACCTGCGGCTTCTTAGCGTAGGGCTGTCTGTCCTCTGGGACTTGCAAGGTTCCCCAGGACTCTCTAAAACCACATAGCTCATTGTCATGAGAATTCCTGCTTTAATTAACTGATCCAAGAAAGCCATTCTTAGTTTATCCTCAGGATGGAGGGGAGATAAGGATTCCTGTCATGGGGCCAGATTTCCAGGGTGAGCTGCCAAATGCCAAACTGAAATCCCATGAAGGTTTATGGCCACATGGGGGACACTGCAAGAGAGAGCACCTCAGTGTCTTCGGGGCCCTGGCTAGCAAGCTCCTGTCTCCATTTGTGGTGGGTGGGATGTGAAGACTCCTCTCCTGTGCTGCCACTCCCAAAGGCCCAGGAATGATTTCTGAGAGATTCACTGAAGACAGAATACAAGGGCACAAAGAGAAGCCTTGTGGCTTCAAAGGTTCCCCTGAAAAGGCTTCTGGACTTAAGCCAGACAGAGGAGAGGAGTCAGCTGGCAAATCACTCCTCACATGAGACTGGGAGTTCAGGAGCAGAAGACGCCAAATCCTTGGGCAGGGAGGAAGGTGACCAGACGAATGGTTCCACGGACAGACTTGCTGCATCCTCCACTTCTCACCCCAGAATTAGAAAGAATATCAGTACACCAACTGACACACTGGGGAATGTTGTATATTTTTCAGCACCTGTTTACTGGAAAACCTGTACAGCATATGATCGCCTCATTCTATGCCTGTCAAAAGCCACACTGAATAGAGGCAGAAATATGACTCTGGTGTGATCTCTTGTCCTTAGTGTTCTCCTTTGGGGTCCTGCCCCACTCTCCCTTTACGATGGCCTAGGGACCTAGGCGAAGGCTGCCAAGTAGAAGGGAGGTGGCAGCTCAAGCAGGAGGCCTGTCTGATTGGTAACGAGGCTGGTAAGAAGGCTGCCCATCTGCGTGCTGAGCTGCAAGCTCCCAGACCGAGCAGAGCACTGAGGGCAGCTGGGCTGGACAACTGAGGGCTCACAGGCTGACTGGTTGCCTCATGATGGAAGCTATTTTTACAATAGACTTCCTCCTTAGGGAGAGATCGTGTTGACTAAATTATAGGAATTCCAGTGTGCCTAGCAGCCATGCTTTTTTTTCTTTAAAATTATTAAGTTGACTCTTTTGTTCCACTAAGTCTGACCACCATGACCTCATTTTCCCTGGTAACTGAATAAAATAGAAAATTGGGATTGCAGACCCCTGAGCTGGGAGAGGCCACAGTGCAGAGGAATTCCAACAGGAGCTCATTTTGATGCCTCACTTCCCAAGGCCCAGAGTGTCCTGGGGCTTCTGCTCCAAGGTGAATCTGCCCAGCCCAGGGATTGTGGAGCTAGGAGGAGAAGGCCCACGGCGTCCCACGGCAGCCCCCAGGCAGGGAGGGATCCCAGCATCGTGCAGCTACTCTAGACAGAAAGTCCTGGGAAGTTTGTCCCTTAACTAAAAAATATCTCCCTGACGTATTTCAACACATCCTCGTCTTCCTCAGGGCTTCTGCTGCAGCCAGAGTCAGAACCAGCAGGCCCCTGAGAAGGGCTGTGGCCTGGGGGAAGGGCATCTTTCCCATTGTCCTCGTCCTCACTGCTCCCAGGAGAACTGGGTGACGCTGAGCAGATTGGGGAGAGCTCTGCCTTATCAGCGCCTGCCAGAGCCGGTTGCTCTGAGCGCTCTTCCTGTTTTCGGCCCTGCGGAGTAGAAGACATGGCAGGGAAAACACACCGGTTTTATTTTCCTAACGCGCTGGTCAGTGATGCAGAACATATCCAGAAGCAACTGTAAAGCCAGTGGGTGACCAGGTCAGGCACTGCTCCCACATCAGCGCCCACCCCACCCTCCCTTCACCCCATCTTCCCCTTCCCACCACCCCTTCCCAGCTCTGGAAGAAATCAAGACCAACTTGGGAGAGAGGTGGGCAGGGGCCCGAGGAATAGCCGAGTAGGAAAGAAAAACAAACAGAAAAAACTTATCTGGAAAGGCAGGCTGACAGAACGGAAGGAGCACAGGATACAAAACTTGAGTGTGGCCTAAGCTCTGTCACTTATTGGTTATGCAACAAGGGAATGTCCCTGAGCCTCAATTTCTTCATCTGTCAAATGGGGATAATCTCTGAAATAACTACATCACCAGGTTACTGCAAGGATTAAATGAGACAGTACAATACACAAGAGTACCTGGTCCACGATAAAGTATAGACAACTCTAAGGTGGTACAATAATTATTCTCTTCAGGAAGCCAGGAGACTTGAGTGGCGTTCTGCCAGAAGTGCAGTGCTAAGATGTCATCTCTCCCGACTGAGACCCTTTCAAAGCAGTTAAAGGTTTCCTGTCCCCTCCACATACACACTAGCACAGAGTCACCCCAAATGCAGAGGCTGCTCTCCCTCTCACAGCCATATCCTCCCCGGGGATCCGGGCCCAAATGCTTGGGTGGGTGCACACCTCTCAGGGGCAGAGGCCAAGGGGAGCATGACCTGAGAGAAGCGCTAGACAGGGGCAGGCGGAAGTGGGCCGACAGGTGAGAGCGCTCCCTGAGGCCACCTGAGATTGACATTAACCAAGGGCCTAGTCTACTTTCTGCCTGTAAAGAGTTTCTGGTTATAAGAGTAAGAAAAGACACAGCTGACTTTACCTCAATCAGGATGCCCAGGGCAACATCTACCATTTCAGCTTCGTTCATGCAGTACACAGTCTTCAGCACAGGAAGTCTGAAACAAGGGCATGAGGCTACAGTTGGGGACAGATGGGTCTCGGGTCTCACAAGGAAGAAGAAAATGAGAACAAGAAGAGAGTCGCAACCCTGGGACTTCCCACCAGGGAAGAGAGCAACAGCTTCCTCAAGGCACGAACACAATTTCCTCATCCTTGTAACCAGTGACTGGCACAGGGGGTTCATGGAGGCAATGGCAGGGAGCTTACCACCCTCTGCCAGCAACCCCAGGGATCTGGAAATAGTGCATGACGGCCAGCTCCTGAGCGTCAAACTGACCCACACACAATGGATGTGAGCAGACCAGACCATCAGGCGGAGACTTGACCGACACCTACCTGAACGCATGAACACAGTAAAGAAGAGCTGCAGCAAGCAGAACGGGAGGTTGGTCCCTTAAGAAAACTTAGAACACGAAGAGCCAGAGGGCAGCACTGAGTGCCTGGTGACTCGTCTAGGAGAGTGCAGGGACATCCCCTCCTTGGCAGTCTGAAGACCCCCAAAATTACCATCATTCCACTATCCGGCCCCACAGCTTCTGATTTCATGCTGGCCCAGCGACTTGCTGCTCATCTGCCTGTCCCTGGAGACCTGCCACAGTAAGACAGGACCACCTGGTCCACCTGTCTTACCCCATTGATGGTCACAATTTTTGTTGCAAATGAACAGACTGGCATTTTGGACAACTGGTGTCTGAGAGCTTGGCTAATGTGTGTAACCCCAAGAGGGAGAGCCACTATCTGGGAGGTGACACATGAGGGCCTCACGGTGGAGACTCACCAACAGGGGCAGAAGCAGGCACCTGTCTGTGAGGGGATAGCTCACTCTGCCCCCCGCAGCCTGTGCTCCTCATAAGAGCTGAAGAGATGTCTGCGAGACTGAAACGCCCGCCCACCTCACTGCTCTGCCAACACTGGATGGCCTGGCCCCAGCAACTGTGATGCCCCCCCAACCCCGCCCTGCTCCTGACTCCCCAGGAGGACCCTGACCAGAAGTTGTCCCACCTGGCTGCAGCTGCCACCGGCACTGCTGCCATTCTCCTCCTCTTGGGGGTCTTCATTGGTGCCATTCTCTTCTCAGCCATCTGGGCTGTCATCCATGTGGGAAGGACCCTCTTTTTATTCCCAGGTTCTAAGGCTTCCATCTCTCCAGTGTCTCTTGAAGTGGAGTCAGGGTCCAAGCTTCCTGACTTGCTTTTCTTATTCAAGACAGCAAATCCCACTCTCATCACACCAGGGATCATAGGTCTGTTGGTCCTGAATAGGAGTCAAGCTTTAATTCCTACAAAGAACAAAGTCTAGTGAATTCTAATAAGCTAGAATACTTCCAGTCATCAGCGGAAATTACTGGTCAGGGCAGGCCAGAGGCAAGCCGGACAGTGAGCAGGGCCCACGAGACTCAAACGGGCCATTCACAGGGCATCAAGCGAGAGGTGTGGAAGTGGGCAGGCTGACGGGCTCGGGAAGAAGCAGCCCTCCGACCTGCTGCAGGGCCCAGGGTCCCACACATGCCACCAGGCCCAACCAGAAATGCCTCCAGGAGCCTCTGCACTGAGCCACTGGAAGCAGGAGGAGAGGGATGAGCGCCCTCTCAGGAGAAAGGAAGAAAGGAGGCGGCCCCCTCTTTTCCTCGCCACCCCAGATCTCAATGTCCCCAGGGTATCCAACCTATCCTACCCTAAAAATCTCATCACTCAATGATCTGTCTCCCTCAGCTCCAGACTTCTCATTTCCTCTACCGTGGTGTGGTTACAAGAGACTCAGGCCATTCTAATTCACAAGGTTCCATTGGCTAAGACCCCCTCTCTTAATCCAAAGATACTTCTGACTGCCTGCCTCCCGCATGTGGCAGCCAGAAGGGCCTTTCATCTAACGTGGCCTCTCTTCTCCCCACCCCCACCTGATTCCACCTCAGCACCTCCATCCTAAAGCTCAGCCGCTCCCTGTGACTGGAAGGGTGCAGTTCTACCTGCCACTTAGCAGTCAACCCTGAAAGCAGCTCGCCGTTCTCACCTAGGGAGGACCTCACTGAAGCAAGGTTTGCCTGGGAAAATATCAGCCAAGAATAAGAGAGTCCTCCGTGAGTTGTAACTTGACCATTTATTGCATACCTAGAATGGCTGTTTACAACTTAAGAAAATTAGCAGGACATGATCCTAACCGGTCTAGCCACAGAGGACAGACCTTTGTCCATGCACCTCATTTGTGTCAAAACTCAGGCAGTGATGATAGTCATTCCCATGTCTAACAGATCACTGGAACGGCCGGGCACGGCGCTGCAGGCGACGATCCAGACATTTGACCCTGAGGCAGATATTATTAAGCCCATTTTACCGTCGAGGAACCGAGACTTAGCAATTTGCACAAGGTCACAAAAAAGTCTGAAAGAGCCAGCCAGGATGCGCAACCAGGTCCTCCAGCTCCCAGACCCTGTGCCTAACGGCCCGCCGCGGCGCCCGGGCGCCGAGGCGCACAGGCCGGGCTGGCAGAAAGCCCGCGCTGCAGGGGGCGCCCGACCCCGCGGGCACGCCGTG